CTACCCAGGGAGATAGCTTGAGGCTCCGTCTCAAAAAAAAAAAAAAAAAAATTCAGACCTTTTGCATATCAAAGGATATATATATTTTTTTCCGGCCAGGGTTGAATTTGAACTCGCCACCTCCAGCATATGGAGCCGGTGCCCTACCCTTTTGAGCCACAGGCACCACCCCATATCAAAGGATATTAAGTGAGTAAAAAGGCAGCAGCCCATAGAATGAGAGAATTATTTGAAAATCACAAATCCAGTATATATGAAGAACTAAGACACCCCAAGAAAACAAACACACAACCCAGTTAAAAAACAGGCATTGGATTTGAATAGACATTTTTTTCCTTCAAAAAAGATATACAAACCCAAATGTCCTTTGATGGATAAACAAACTGTATATACATACGATGAAACATTATTCAGCCTTAAAAAGGAATAGAATTCTGATAAGTGATAAGACATGAATGAACTTTGAAGATACTATGCTAAGTGAAATAAGCCAGACACAAAAGGACAAATACTATATGATTCCATTTCTGTAAGATACTTGAAATAGTCAAATTCAGATAGGTAGAAAGTACAATAATGATTAACAGGGCGTCAGGGGATAGAATTTCAGTTTAAGATGATGAAAGAAATCTGGAAATGGATGGTGGTAATGATTGCACAATAATGGTGAATATACTTTATGCTACTAACATAAAAATGGTAAGTTTTATATTACTCCCCACAACACTGTATACTCCCTAATTGTGTCTATACAGTACCCAGCATGAAGCTAAACAAATAAACCAGTGGAAAGAAGCGTAGTGTGTGACAAAGAGGAAAATATTCACCAGTGGGGGAAGGAGAAAGTAATCAATGAATTGTGCTGGGATAACTGGTTAATCTCATGGAAAAAAAATAAAATTAGCTGTCTAGTTACCTAAATAAATGCATATGGTTTAACAACCCTAAAATAGAAAGCAAAACTATACAAATTTTAGATAAAGCCTTAAGGAAAAAAGTGGTAGCATATACTAATATTTAAAACTCTTCAATATCGAAAGGTTATAAACAAGGTTATAAAAAGGCAGAAGTTGAGGAAAGATACTTATATATGTAGAATTCATAAAAAATCTATAATTTTATAAAGAAAAAGGCATTCTAGCAGTAGGCAAAATGATTCAGGGAGGAAGAAATGGAAAGTGATATACTCCTTATAACAGAAGAATTGGTGCAGCCCCTATAGAGAGCAATTGCGAACGCATAGTAAGTCAGAGTTCCCTGTTCTCTTGGACTGAACACCTCCACTTTAAGGTACTGATTCTATAGAAACTTAAGTACATGTATACAAGGATATAGAATATTCTCTGCATCACTAATTTGCAAATAATAAAAAGGTGGAAACAAACTGCCTCTCAGAAAAATTAAGTCTGGTTTATTTATATAGTGAAAAAATACAATGAAAATAATCTCCAACTATCAACATGGATAAATCTCAAAAATGATGTTAAGAGTTAGTTATAAAAGGATATGTACAATCTGATAACATTCATATAAAATGTTAAGATATAAAACAATGGTTAGTCTACAGATAAACAATACTTAACAGTCTATAGCAAGGATATAGAAACATTAGAAGTACACAAACATGGGTTTTACTAGGATAATGCAGGACTCTGAGGGTAAAGGGAAGATAAAAGATCAAAGCCAGATCAGAAAGTATCAGAACAGAATAATCTTTATTTTATTTTTTACTCACCAGTATACTAATGAAGACAGAATGTTCTTTAAAGCAAAAGGAGAGGCAGTCAATGGCCTAGAGCAGGAGTTGGCAAACATTTTGGTAAAGAGCCAGAAAGTCATTATTTTAGGCTCTGCAGGTCAAGAGGCAAAATATTATTCAGGTTCTTTCCTGGGATTCAAAGTTAGTGCTCCCTATCAAAATTGATTCCAAGTGTTTGATTTTTTCCAACTATTTAAAAATGTGAAAACCATTCTTAGCTTGCAGACCATTCAAAAACAGTGTGCTGGATTTGGCCCATGGGTTATAGTCAATTGCATTTTCTGTGATGCTGGATGGAAATGTTCTACTTTCCCCCAATTGTCCAATATCATAACCACTAGCCGCATGTATCTACTGAACAACTGAAATGTGGCTTGTGGGACTGACTGAGAAATTGAATTTGAATTAAATTTTGAAATTGTACGTACTCTCAGTCATTGTAGCATTTCCATGAATTTACAGAACAGGTATGAGAGGAGTGGCAGAGAACTGAACAAGTGAGTCTGTGGTGGGAGAGAAGGATGTATAAATTAATGATTCAGAAAATAGAAAAATTAGGGGTGATGAAAAGAATTTTGGGTGTGACTGATAGGGAATATAGAACGACACGAAGATGCAACCAAGAAAACTTGAGATCAGGATTGGATGACTCAGTCAACAAAACCAGAATTTGTTGGTCACAGATTGGAAGAACACAACAATGAAAAGCTGGAAGAGAGGTGTTAGGTTGAGAGTACGGTGACAAAGATGAGAGTTTCAGGGCAATGACTTAGAGAAGGGGATGGGAAAGAAACTGTCCAAGGATAAAACAGAGAAGGTAGAAAGTAAGACAACAAGATAGATATTCTATCTCTGATATTTAAAGAGCAAAAGGAAAACACAGTCACTATCTTATGCAAACTTTATTGCTCTTTAAAAATGGAGAATTGAGGCAGAAGAATTGCTTGAGCCCCGGAGTTGGAGGTTGCTGTGAGCTATGATGCCACAGCACTCTACCCAGGGTGATAGCTTGAGGCTCTGTCTCAAAGAAACTACGACAAACAAACCAAAAAAAAAAAAAAAAAGAAAAAGTAAAATCTACAGTGTTTTTTTAAAGAGGTATATACAAGTGTAGATGTCAAACTTTCTAAACTAAACTAATTCCCTCGTTGGTTGATCAAAAATACAGAAAAGTCTTTAGTATTCACACATTTAACAATTGAGATTTTGACTAAATAAAAAGCTATCCTGAAAGACCATGACATCTATGATTTTACAAGGCAGCACTCTGAACAACATAGACTTGTGCTTGGAGTCACTTACCTAGTCCCGGAGCCTAAACAATCATTAATTTCTCTAGTCACAATGCCATACCAATTTCATCTAAAAAATCAAATATAACTGTGGTATAAGGAATTCACAAACAACTTGGGGCATACCCAATTGTGAATGTCAAGGATGTATTTTACTCGAATACTACATAAAAAGTTTCAAAAGATCCTTAGCTTGTCTTAGAAAAATCAGTCGTTCTATTATCCTGTACTTACGGGAAAAATAAAGATGCCAGAAGCTTAAAACTAAAATATCATAATTTGAGCAATCATTACTAATTTCCAAAATGTTGGTATAACATACATTTAGACTAACCTTAAGGGGTTTAGGCAGCATAGGCAATCTAAACAATTACAGTGCTTAAGTCCAGTTGTTTATTCAAAGGAAAAATAAATTAAGTTTGTTAAAGTTTGAAGATAAAATATCACATTTGAACTAGTTTTGAAGAAATGACTTAGAGTCCTATTTTTTTTTTCTTTTTGAGACAGGGTTTCACTATGTTGCCCTCAGTAGAGTGCTGTGGTATCACAGCTCACAGCAACCTCTAAGTCTTGGGCTTAAGCGATTCTCTTGCCTCAGCCTCCCGGGTAGCTGGGACTACAGGCGCCCGCCACAATGCCTGGCTACTTTTTGTTGCAGATGTCATTGTTTAGCTGGCCCAGGCCAGGTTGGAACCCACCAGCCTCAGTGTATGTGGCCAGCGCCAAGCTGATTTAGAGTCCTATTAAGAGAATATTCTATGGCAATAGTTCAACCCACTTCTGTACTGTTTTACAGATTTTTTTCTTGGAGCAATAAAAAAAGGTACAGGATGAATTTAAACAGTATGTAACAAAAGCTTCATCGTATTTGCTTTGTATTCTTTTTGGAATGACGTCTCGAATCCTTTTTCTGCTTGAAAATAGGAGAATTCAAGAAACACAAATCTGTGAAAGGGTCTCCTCTTCTCAGTTTCCTATAAGGGCAAAAAAAAAATCTTAGGCATAATTATAAGTACCCCAATATTAACTTATTCTTCAGTAAAAAGTTATGGTAAATATACCAATTTTAATATTCCTACTTGAGTTTATCAAAATTTTATGTTTCAAATAAAATTCATTCTTAATCAAAGCTCTATAACCTTATTCCCCCAACATGTGTCACTAAAAAATGTATTTCTCACAATTCTGATACTTACGAAGCAAGAGTGGGCTCCTTATAGTTCACGTGGGCTGTGCATCTACGCTTAGGAAGAGACTCTGCTGGGCTTCCTTTATTTTCGTTTGGAGAAAGAGAAAATCTCCTGATTTTAACTTCAGGATACAAGCGAATATTGGTGATATCCTTCAGGCTAAGATGAGGTGACTGTTGAGTTTCAGGTGGTGTACCTACAAAGACAAGTTTTTACTAAATTTAGCTCCAAAACAAAAATGTAAAGGAACTAAAGTTACATTCATAACATAGGAACTAGAAGAATACATCCTAAAAGTATACTAAATCCAGTATTTTATAATATAGATTTTAAAAATCTTTTCATCATTTTTTTTCTTCCTTACAAACCAGACAGTGTTGAAATATTAACTACAGTAGATGTGAACTAAATGAATACTCTTCTAAAACTTAACATTGTTCAAGGATACCTTAGGCATAATGAATTAGATTAAACTAACTATGTAATTTCATTTTAGTCATAAATGAAATTTATTGCTATTTAGAACCATCCTGGCTTCTTTACTTCTTTCAATCCCAAAGTTTATCACTAAGTAGCTTCCTATAGTCTTCTCTCTTTTTTTTTTTTTTTTGAGACAGAGTCTCTCTCACCACGGTATCGAGTGCTGTGGTGTCACAGCTCACAGTAACCTCCAGCTTTTGGGCTTAGGTGATTCTCTTGCCTCAGCCTCCCAAGTAGCTGGGACTACAGGCACCCAACACAATACCTGGCTATTTTTTGTTGCAGTTTGGCCAGGCCAGGTTCGAACCTGCCACCCTCAGTATATGGGGCTGGTGCTCTACTCACTGAGCCACAGATGCCGCCCTCCTTTTTTTTTCAAGGAGACAATCTCACTCTGTCACCCAGGCAGGAGTGAAGAGGCTTGATAATAGTTCACAGCAAACCTCAAACTCCTATGCTCAAGTGATCCTCTTGCTCCAGCCTCTCAAGTAGCTGGCTAATTTTTAATTTTTTTGTAGAGACATCATCTCACTATTTTGCTCAGGCTGGTCTCCAACTCATAGGCTCAAGTGATCTTCCTGGCTCAGCCTCCAAAACTGCTGGTATTACAGGCTCAAGCCACTGCAGCCAGCCCCCTGTAGTCTTAGAGAGCAAACTAAACTCCTTCTATTAGGAAAATGAGAATTACCTGTTAGCCTCTGTGGAAACCAAGAGAAAAGTAAAGCTAGTATAAAGCTCTAGTAAAGTTAGTATAGTACAAAGTTATCCATGGTTTTTCCTGTCAGAAACACCCAGGTCATTCTGCTTTCAGGTACATCTATATAGGGAAGCAGATACTCAGAACACCATAAGGACACTGCAGGACAAAGCATCTCTTCAAATAGCTTTAAAAAGCAAACAGTATCCCCCCAAAACTTGGTCAACTTGGAGAGACTCTTCATTTATTTAGGCTTTAGTTTCCTTATGTACAAAATAAGCATGGGGATACATATTCTTCAGAGAACTGTTCTGAGGATCAAATAAAATGACAACAGTATTTTAAGAGTGATACAGCCTGACCATATACACTTGTTTTACCACATTAACTAAAATTCCAAGGTGAAAATCTTTGTGGGAAGGTAGAGGCTGTATTGCCAACATACAATTGTACCATACCTATTTTTGATCTAATAAATTAATAAAAGCAAGATTTTTTTGAGCTACAGTTTTTAAATGTTTCACAAATGTCTTTCAAAAGAATACTAACCCTGCCAATTGAGAAAAAACTTCTTGTCTTATTAGGCCATTTCACCAACTAGAAAATTATTTTAAATCATAGTTCCTGTCAAATTAAATTATAAAGCAAAGCCATTAAAACAACACATCATTGCATTCAAGTCTGATTTCATTTTCCAGGGGACATTTCAGGTGAGTGTATAAAAGATATAAAAATATTTTAATTCAACTTACCTTCACAAAAAACTCTCCCTTGGGACACTTCATTTATTGAAAATACAAATACTGTCTCCATAACAAATAATGTTTACTGGTAAAAGGGATTTAAATTAGCATGAAGTAGGTCAGAGCAACACAACTGTGATTTCTACCCCAGTTCCCTACCATTTAATCAGACCGTAACTTGCCCCCAGAGAGACAGATGGTAAGTTTCTAACCTCCTCCAGAGAAACAGATGGGAAATATAGTATACAAGCATGAGGGGTGATCATTTATCATAAACATTACAAATGCAGGCAAACAAGTAGATCACTTACTGGTAGGAGTTTTTGTTGGCTCAGAATCCTCTATCTCTTTTTCATCTGTATGTTTTAGTGCTCTTTTAGATCGAGGCCTAGTGACTGGTTTCCTGTCTGAATCACTGGCAAGATTTTGAATGTACTTGCTAGTAGGCAAATAGAGGTCACCAGAATCATCTCCTGAACTACTTGATTCACAGATGCTCACATCAGACTCATTGTCGTTTTCTTCTCTATCAGAATCGTTGTGTTTTTGTCGGAAAGGAGTGAGATGAACACGTTCTTCCAAATTAAAATTGTAAGCATCACCAGAACTGACAGATTCATCCAGTGTTTGTTTGGAAATAGTTTTTTTATTTTCACTTTTGTTCTTTTTACATTTTGATATAGATTGTAATTTTCTCCTTCTGTTAGCTTTTCCCTTCTCTTCTCTTTTTCTTCCTTGTGGGGCTCTATGCTTACTTTTAGGTTGTTCAGATTTAGATTCTAAAATAACTTCTTTTGTTTTAGTAAACATTCCTGGGTGGATCAGCTTTGGTGATAAATTAATGTGGTCCTTCTTCCATGGACAAACATTCTGTTCTACATTTACAGGTATGTGCATGTTTGCTGGTGGGTCTACAAATCTAATTCTGTCCAATTCAAAAGACTGCCCCACCAAATGACTGGTTTCAAAATCATCCAAGGTATCAAACTGACATGGACTGCTGTTACAATGTTTCTTTAAACTGCCCCGTCGGAGAGATACAGTTCTAGGCAAGACATCAGTAGACGTGGCTTCACCTGATTCAAAATCAAATCCCAGTGTGTCTTGAGAAACAATGGGTACATACTCTGAGGATTTAAAAAATAAATGAAAAAACAATCTTACTTTGTGAAAGTCTGAATTTTGAAATTCAAAGTTAAAAATGGAATGAGAGAAGTCATTCTGTAGTTTTCCTATAAGTAAATAATTTACAGGGAACTTAATATTACCATCAACTTGTCAGTGCTCAGCTGATGGCTTTTATCTGATTTGTGGAAGAATCTTATGCAAATATCCCAAATCCATAATCCTTCAAAATCTGAAACTATTTGAGTGTACACATGATGCTCAAGCAAATGCTCATGGGCGGATCTGAATTTTAGATTTTCTGATTAGGGAAACTGAACTAGTATATTGCAAATATCCCAAAATCTGAAAAAAACGGAAACACTTCTAGTCTCAAGCATTTAGGATAAGGAATACTCAACTGGTACAACCTTAAAAAATATTCTAACGTGGGATTTTATGTGTTCCTGGTTTGGAGAAAAATGATCATCTATCATTGAGTACAGATTCAGAGGAGCAGAACCTCATATTCCAAAGTGGGATAAATATAGGGTGGTCATAAAGTTTGTGTACAATTTAAAATAGAGACCTTGTATGTGAGAAAGTGGAACAATGCTAAACTGTTCTTTAAAAAATTTGGATAATTGGAAAGCCTTTCAGATAAGAAACACAATCTGGGTTTTTAAAGAAAGTGAGGATAGGGCAGTGCCTATGGCTCAAAGGAGTAGGACGCTGGCCCCATAAACCAGAGATGGCAGGTTCAAACTTGGCCCTGGCCAAAAACTGCAAAAAAAAAAAAGTGAGGATATTTGTCTGGTTTTGCTTATTCAAATGCTATCCCTTCTTCAAAGCTTAGTTCAAGTAGAGGTGATGATATTTGAGGAATGTGATACTTTAATTTATAAAAGCATTAGGAAGGGCATGGCTCTGGAGTTCAGCTTTCAGTTTAAACTCTTATCTTTTATCATCTGGGCTATTTCATGTGAGATGCTTTATCTCTTTGAGTCTATATGAAATGAACTGTACTTATATTCCCAGGTCATTGTGAGGGTTATGTTACATGAGACAATGTATGTAAAATTCCTAACAGCTTGACACAGAGTAGGGCTTAGTAAACTGCTGCCATAAGTCACATCCAAAGTTTTTGATTACAGATTTGGCACAAAGAATGGATGTATTTTAAAACTCTATTATTATGTGTAAAATAAACAGACTTGCTTTGAGCAGAATACCAGATTGGCAGATTTTAAAGGTTTTTTAAAAAAACAAATAAAAGCAAATGCAATCAGTGTAACCTAATTCTTTGAATCCCAAACAATGAAAACAAAAATTTTAATCTAAAACCTGGAAAAAATACCTACCAATATATACTTTGATACCAGTTCATGCCTCCATAAATGATATAAAATGAATATTAAGAAAATTAAAGAAATTTAATTATAATATTAGTTCTTCAGATCTTGTATTACCCTTAATAATATTTTTAGATTTTACATACTTGAATTACCTTCTATTTGAAATGATTCTCTTTGTCTTGAATGGTCAGTATCTTCAAGAGGAACTTGCCTTAGAAAATACCAATGAAAAATAGAAATTTATTTAACAATTATGAAATAAAAGTGAATTTAATATTTTCCTAGAAGTTTTTTCTTTCCTTTAGTATTATTTCAGAATTCTATTCCAAATCAGTACATCTATACTGTATCAAAGTAAACAAGAAAACACTCATGCTGATTGCATGGACGCTGATTTGTTATGGTTGATACTTAACTCCCAATGGAAGAACACGTCAAGTCAGATGTTTTCACCTGAAAACATGCCATAACTCAATTTAACTGAAGAAACAAATAATCAGAATTGACTTTAAAAATAATTTTTAAAAATGCAGTTTGATTACTTAACTCTTTAAGATGCTGCTTATTGGCACAGCTGCGCTTTGTTGGAAATATATGCTTTTATGGTCCCTAACTATTGAATTCTTCTGAAATTATTTAATATTATTTATTTTCTTTAAAATCCTGCTCTCCTTTGGTTTACAGAACAAGAAAACTTCCTTTATGCTCCAATACTATTACTGGCAGTTTCATTTTATTTGTAATTTTATTCCGTAGAGAATTTTCTACTCTAGGCATCAAAAATTTAACAGATTTGGGTAACAGATACACAGCGATTATAACTAATATCCACTTTAAAAATCTTATAAAAACTTATTACCTTCTCTTAACTTTTTGCTTATAAGAAAATTTTCATCATATCTTAAATTTCAAAAGTTCAGAAGCTACTAATGATAAAAGTATGTATGGGGACAGAAATCATATTTGTGGTTATTTCTGTGAGGAGAGGGGGATAGACTTGAAATGGATACAGAGGAATTGTCTCTGACAGATCTTACCTAAGAGCAACTATGCTCCCCAGGGGATACCTGGCAATATCTGAAGTTATTTTTGGTTCTGATGACTTGGGGAGAGGGACGTTACTGCCATTTAGTAGACAGAGGTAAAGGATGCTACTAAACATCCTATAGACAGCCTTCTATTACTGCAACAAAGAACAATCTGGCCCACAGTGTCATTAGTATCATCACTGAGAAACCCCGGGCTAGGCTGATGGCAATGCTGTCTATCTTAATTGAGGTTTTACTTGCACAGATATATACATTAGTCAAGCTCATCAAACTGTATAATTAATATCTGTACATTTTACTGTATGTAATTAAATCTCAATAATTCATAAATAAACAAAGTATACTTGATCCAAAAGAAGAAGAGGGAAGAGGGCATATGGGTCTAATTGAAAAAATAAACTAAATCAGCAAGACAGTGTGACAGCTATATTGAACATGATGTTTTATTGTATATATTTTTCTAAACCAGACTATTTATAACATGGCAAAATACCATCATTTCAGCAGCCAATCCTTTCTAGAATAAAAACATGATACAGAGAAAAATATGACTGAAGGGAATAGTTTAAAAATTCTAACAAGGCTTCTTATTTCTAGACATCAAAAATGTAGTTACATCTAAGAAAAAGAAAACTTAACCTCGGCTACATATAATAAAATTTTAACACATCAAATTTCCTCAAATATATTCTCAGTTGAGAGAGTATCATATTCCAAAGATACAAGAGTTGAAAGTTGAGCACAGTGGGTCATACCTGAAATCAATCCTAGCACTCTGGGAGACTGAGCTGGGAGGATGCTTGAGCTCAGGAGTTCGAGACCCCATCTCTACCTGTAGTATTCACTACTCAGAGGCTGAGGCAGGATCACTTGAATCTAGGACTTTGAGGTTGCTGTGAGCTAGGCTGATGCTACAGCACTCTAGCCCAGGCAACAGAGTGAAACTCCGTCCTCCCCATCAAAAAACAAACAAACAAACAAACAAACATATATATATGTATATATAAAAGAGTTGATATGATGGAAATTTCCTTTTATAAATGGATTACAGAATTAAATTTTTAATAATCATAAAAAGGAATTTGATACTAACGGTAAATCCTTCATAAATACAATCCTGGAGTTCTCATCATTATTGGAGTCCATTCCTGAGGGACATTTTTCTTGATTCTATTGTCATATTAAAACAAAAGAAAAGTTGTGATTACGTATTCACAACAAAACATTCACTTATTCATCAGTATACACTTCTTGAGTCTTTTATGGTGCCAGGCACCATGCTAGGAAATGAAACTACAAAAAAACAAATCAAGTCTTACTCTCTTAAAGCTTATATTCTAATGCAGGAAAGAAATGATAAAAAAAAAAAAGAACAGGAAAAACCTTGCTGTGTTTAGAAAGAAAGATGGTGTGGCTAGAACATAGGTAAGAACAGTAGAAGCTGAACTTGCAGAGGTCAGATAATATAGGGCCTTGAGAGCCATGAGTTTGGATTTTATGTCTCTGTTGTTGTTTTAAGACAGTCTCATTCTGTTGTGTTGGATAAAGTGCTGTGGCATCACAGTTCACAGTAACTTCAAACTCTTGGGCTCAAGTGATCTTCTTGCCAGTGAGTTTGGATTTTAGTCTAAGTGTGACAGAAAGTTACTTAATATTAAGATGGGAATTAAAATGATTTAAGTTTTCAAAGGACAGGTCTGGTCAATATGTGAAGCATGGATTGAAAGGGGCCAGGGTAGAAGGAATCACCATGACAAGTCAGGTACATGGTATCAGCTGGGACTAGAGTCACAGCTATGGAAGTGAAGCTCAGTGGAAGGCCTAGTGATAACAAGTCATACTCAGAGAACGAACAGGGATGGCGACAAGGACAATGAAGGAAAGGGAATCCTCTTATGCTTTTTGGCCTAAACATAGGGTAGGCTACTTTATTGAGATGAGTAAGACTTATGGACAGAGGCAGAAGTATACAATATTGTTGGGAGGGAGAAAATAGTGCTTTGTATAAAATATACACAGGGACTGTGCTTTGTATAAACCATGTATGACATTCGTTATAAGCTTGTACATGGAGATATCAAGTAGCAGCTGTATGTGTATCTGCGGTTAGTTCTTGTACTATAAATTTAGACATTACCAGAGGAAAGACAGTATATAAAGCAATAGGAGAGAATAAGGTGAGTCTAGGACAACTGGCACTTAAATGCTGAGCAAAGTAGCAGCTAGCCAGAAAGACTGACATGGAAAAATGAGACAGGTAGTAAGAAAACTAGGGGAGCATATCAAAAAAACTAAGAGATAAAGTATTTTAAGTAAATAGTAAACCCTGTATGGCATATTACTGAAAGGTCAAGAAGAAAGAGAAGTAACCACTAATTTGGTAGGGAATGTACTCTTTGGAAAAGTTCTGCTGTGAAGGAAAGCAGAGAAATGAGGAGATAATGTGAGACAAGGAGAGGTCTGATTTTTCTTCTCCTCTTAAAGTGAGAAATACTAAAGCACATTTGTATGACAACTGGAACAATCCAGTTGTGAGGAAGACACATGGAAGAGAGAGCAAACTTCCAGGAGCAAAGTCCTAGAGGAGATGAGAACAGGTCGTTAATAGGAGCAGGGAACACTCCTGCCACTGTAACAAGAAGGAGGATGGACAATACACATATAAATAGGCAGATCTGCACAACTGTGTTATGAAGATGAGAATTCCAGTTCAAGTCCTAAGAAGCCGTTCTAATTTAGTTCAATTGTTTTTGGAAATGTGATGCAAATATATGTTGGTGCTATAATGAATAGGCTAAAACTGTTCATCAGAGATAAAACCACCAGAAATTTAATCCTGTTAAAAGCTTTTTAAATGTGATAGCCACATGGTATCATAAACATGCTAATGTTCTGAAACTAATATTGTTGAGGGTAAATGAAAAAGAATATTTAACTGTATAGTAATATAACTTAAAGACAAATTAATAAAAAGATCTATTATAAAATTTAAGGAATGAAAGGCTATTAGAAATTATTTAAAAGCTAAGTTAATTACTGGTAGGCAAAAAACATTCTTATAGTTAAAGCACTTTAAGCTTCTCCAACATTGCTAAATTGACTAGATAAACAGTGAAGAACATGTGTAGAAGGATGGTTGAGAATGAGTGATACATACAGTAAGTATATGACAGAAAATAAACTTGATGTTTTAAATGCTAATACACTCATCTAGCAACTCATAATGTTTTAGTAAATACTTAAAAAGTCACTGATAAATGTTAAAGGGCCTGTAATTACACATTTCCCCCCGCTTTTGTGATTATCTCATTGAATATTTATTTCATACTATTGGTGTGTGATTTCAGCCAAAAGGGAGGAGGAAGATTCAAATGCCTTTGGAGAGATTTTTTTTTTCTCCTAGTTGACTGAACAAGGAAATTTAAAATTAGGAAAGATTGCATTCTGGAAAAAAAGATTAAAACAATCTAATCCTCACATGAAGGTGAAGAAATCATATCTAATCTTTACAGGGGCAATTCTCAACTACGCTATACATGTATATATTGCCTATGTGTATTTCTGCATATGTATATATTGTACAACTGTCTATATCACACAAAGAAAAAATAGGAATCACTTTAATTCCTTTCTCAAGTACCCCCCATGCCCTTGGCTTTCTATTTTTTTTGTTTGTTTGTTTTTTTCCCATAGCCTACAGTAAGGCAGAAAGCCCTTGCTTTCTTATGCCTCCTGGTCTAAATGCCAATACAACTGTCCAGAACTGGCGTAGCAAACAGCCACTGAGAAGAAAGCAAACTGTTCTGTTAACACCTGACACTCACCACTGCTTTTCTTTTCCTTTGCCCCATGTGATTTCCCTGGCAGTGGCTTCTGGGAAAAAGGAGGGAGAAACTGGCTCATCATTACTCTTCTTAGTATTAACTTATAATGAGGCACAATGAATATTCTAAAGCAAACTTTCTCCAGGTCTGTAATATTTTGGCAGGCAGGATCATTTTGGATTCCTTTCTTTAGAACCTTAGACACAAACAGAATCAGATTAAAAATTTGGTCAGGACAATGTTCAGGGTATTCCTTGTCTGGGAGTTCCTTATTTAGCCAACAAACAGGTAAAAAAGAATCTCCAAAAAAGCACTTAAACACTCCTCATTCCCCAAATAAAGGTAGTCCTCATAAAATCTCACTAGATATAGCAAAACTACAAAGAAAAGCTAAGATAGCATTTATCTAAAACTTTTGGATTAGTCTACTTCAATGACCATTTTTAGACTATTAGCTTAGTTGTGTTGTCTTTGACTCAGCTGAACATTCAAATGACTGGCAGTATAAAAGGCTACATTATTTCTTCTGTATTTTGTCTTGCTTTCTGCTTTCAGAACTGCGTTAGGCAAGCACAAGCCTCAAGTACCTATGTGCTTAAAAGCTTTTTTAACTGGTCAGACACAAGAGCTGTGCTGGAGAACTGAACAAGGGTGTTTAAAGAAAACATAGACATTAGTAATTAATTTAAATAATGTAACTGATCTAACCAACTTATTCATGAGTTAACTTTTTCTCTACAAACCAAGCCTTTGTAATAAAAATACCTGAGTTGCCTCTTCTGTTTGCCGTGAAGTAAATTTTTCTTTCAATGCATATAGCTGACATGCAAGGTAGTAGCATTCTTTTCTCAGCTGTAAGATGATATCTTGGGCTTCTCTCACTTTGGATTTTTCATTTTCCAAAGCTAAAACTAACATTCTGTTGTTGTCTTGGTAATTTTTCAGCAGTGTAGAAGTACTGGCTAAAAGGGGATTAAAAAAAGTTTATCAGTTATTAAGTCTAAACTTAAAAAGTGACATACAAGGAAAACATAAAATAACTTACTGATTATCTGGCATGGTGCAGCTATAAAAGACTTGCGTTTGCCAAGCTCTGCCAAATTCTTATTTCTTTTCTCTTTCATTCGCTTCTTTATGTCTTCAAGACTATCTTGAAAAGACTTTTTTAGGCACCTTTCCTTGGCCATCTTATGCCTACAAATTTAAAACAACAAAAAAATATATAATTTTTCTGAGAGACATTATTAAACTTTAAACTAAAAATATATATTGTTCATAAAGAATGGATTAAATAGACCTAATGGCAAAATTAGCTCAAAGTAGGTAAGTTAGCTGACCAGGTAATAATTTTAACTTTGTAGTTTTGAAATATCATTAGTATTTCTGGCATAATCTTATCCTCCTTAGGCACTTTATAAGGAAGTTTTATTAAATATGGATTTCCAACCACAAACTTCCATTATATGCCACCACTCATTTTTTAACAAATACTCATTGGGGTCTATATGCTAGGTACTATGGGAAGTGCTTATTATTACATTTCAATGCTGTTATTATTTGTGTTTCTTTTTTTTTTTTTTTTTTTGAGACAGAGCC